CAGAGAGCATCGTCTTTCTGCAAAAGCAATTAGGTCTGGCGGTCGGCGTGAATGATATGCCTACGTCCATGTACGTTCGATACTTTTTGATAGCGGTATATCAAAGCTTTGCACTATACAGTGCATCATATAATCTGTTTAGCAAATCACCATTTAATACGTGAATACCTTATTAATCTATTTTAAAGAAAAAGACTCAATTGGCCGCGAAATTTTTCTTTAAATTCATATAAAAAAAAAAACAAATGGTAAAAATTTTACCAGGGTATAAATTTAGCCTTCGTTGCGTAAGCTAATTTTAAGCCATGTCATTCCCCCTCAGATGTGCCAAAGGGCGAAATAAACATTGTTTGTCTACGTTCGTAAAGGTAAGACCATCAGGAATGGAGGAAAAGATTTTTGTAGTTAGATAATTCCGAGTCTGTATAGCGAATGAATAGTTCCAGTAACTTGTCGGGTGGTATAAAGCCATAAGCTTAGCAAAAATTGGTGAGAAGGCTTAGTAAGCCTTGTAGCTATATTAAAACACCTGATTAGTAGAAAAATCCTTTCATCTTTGCAGTGCATTTGCCGTGGCAACCATTTCAAGTAAGCATGCAATGCATGGAGTACAATTCGCATTTCATTGGCGCGTAAGAGTGCTGAAAGAGATGTTCATCACTTTCTCTGCGCGGTAACAAGCATTATTGCATTTTGTTGACCACTTGCCATTCAGCAAAAATGCTCATTCAGGCGTCTTGACAAGGTCTCGATGAAACCTCATTCTCTTATGCTGTATTCATCCCATCAACGGTGCATCGCCGTTAAGTAGTTAAGTAGGGTGTCCAAGAAAAATAACTGAAAAAATAACGACAATTTGGTGCATAAGAATGATAGAAGGTTTCCGTTAAGTTAAATCTTGTCTACGTATGTAAACTACATTGGTAGGCACTATAAGCTCATTGTGTTTTATTCTTCCGTTGTAAGGTTGTTTGTTTGTTAACACTGCCGCATTTCTATGTATGTGGGAATGGTCTGCAGTTTACCACTGGCAAAAATTGTGTAATATGCAAATTGAATCTTTATCCTAATATACATATAGATGTGATAACGACTTGGGTGCGGGCACAAAGGTACTTAACTATGCCGCATCTGAATCTCAAATAACTGCATAAAGAGTATCTGTTAAGAACTGGAAATGAATGAAATTTGAAAAAGAGTCAAATGAAACTATGCATAATCATTTTACGCGTACGTATTTGAATCTTATTACGAAATTTTAGTTAAGTTCACTTCTGAGTTTCCAGAGAAACTTTCTTACCTTTGAAACGATGATTAAACTTAGGGCAGTAATTGCATATTCATAAATAACGAAATCAGCTTATATAGCAATAATTAAATTTTCATTTATGTAACTTTATAAATATTTTAGAGTTTTGGTTTTAACATTTATCGTTAATTGCACTTATTTCAGCTTTTAGAAAGCAATCTACACGTCGGTCATGATTGAGTTTATATTTATATTACATCGCATGGTTAGCGAAGAGAATTTCCCTGATTAATTATGGGTCACTGCACCGCACAATTAATTGAGTTAGTTCGCTCATTTGCTTTAAAATTGAATGACATATAATTAGTGGGGATAAACTCTTTAACTAAAACTTTTATATTCATTACATTGAGTCTATTAGATTTGTTTGTTACGCATGGAAATATTCGTTGAAGATTTCATAATATAATATGTGTAAATAT